TATGGTGCTCTCTTTATTTCCTCAGGGTTAATCTTTATTTCCTGGCTTTTGACATTACTTGGTCTTATAGTTGTACCAGTGTATTCCTCATCACAGGACTCTTCTAACTCTCTGCAAGCACCAGTTTTCTCTAATCAATAAAGTGTTGTATTCATCTCCAGTGGGGCTGTACTCTTTGAACTTTAGCTTCCAGACAATCTATGGTACCTATTTTATCTAGGAACTACATTTTTGCCTTGTGCTTCTGCCATAATCACAAATGTGGGCATTCATTTATACAGTGGATTTTGGTTGCTCTGTTAGGTATTTTTATAATTGCTTCAACCATGAATGGAACTAGTAGAGTACCCGCTCTAGAATCAGATTGCCTGGGTTTGAGACTGGTTTGGAGGTTAAGCAGGGGAGCGCAGCTACTCATATACCCTTGTCTGAAGGACAGTCCTATCAGGGAAGGTCATCCTCTTCAACCGAGTGCAGCGTGAGTGAGCGCACAGCTTCAGGATGAACGCGCATGGAGCGGTGAGGGAGGAAGGGGACATCCGCCTAGCAGCCAGATGGGCCGAATCAACCCTGGCGATCAATGGGGTGACAGATGTAGCAGCCAGATTGCTTACACATCCAGATTGCCTGGGTTTGAATCCCAACATTTCGCTTACTTACTTTTTAATCTCAGCCAAGCTAACCAACCCCTCTTGAATTTCTCCTCATCTACAAATTGGGAATAAAATAGTACTATCACTCATGAGACTATGACCCCAAACCTCTAGACCAAAACCCAAATCCCCACACAGTATTTGGTTGTATATAAACAGCCTCAACAGCTAATATCTCTTTTGCTCTCTCTCTCTCAGGTATAACTATGTCTGTCTTCATTATCTATTGCTGCTATAATAAAAATATCACAAGTAGGTAGCTTTAACAAACAGAAATTTATTCTCTCATAATTTAAGAAGCTAGAAGTCTAAATTCAGGGTGCCAACTCAGAGGAAGACTTTCTCTGTCCACTTTGGAGGACGGTCTTACTCTATTTTCAACAGCACGACATTCCTAGAAGTTCTTCATGTGTCTTGGAGTCAATCTTCCCTTGGGTCTATGAGCTTCCCGGCACAGAGACCTTGAGTACAAGGGACATTAGCCACTCCCAGTTCTTTATTGGTGGTAGTTGGTCCTTCTGATCTCTGCTCACACAGTCAGTCTCTTTTCTATCTGAAAAGAGGTTGATGGAAGACACAACCCATTTTTGTAGATTTCATTATGACTCATTAACATAACTGCCATTAATACTGCCTCATTAGTAGCACAGAAGTTAGGATTTGCAACACATAGGATAATTATATCAGATTATGCAATGGAGTATGGTTATATTAATACTAAGAATCATGGGGTCTAGCTAAATTAACACAAATTTGGGGGATACACAATTCAGTATCTATCACACAGCTTTTGTCAATTCAACTTTTTATAATGTGTTGAAAGCAGTTGCAATCATTGGTCTGCAACCCTATCCTTAATGAATGTAAGTGTTTTTAATCTTCGTTGACCCTTTTTATCCCTTCCTCTGACCCCTAGTGATCACTGATAAATTTTATATACTTAGATTTTCTTGTCTCTTATGAGGTCATGCACTTAAAAAAATGTTTTATTGTGACTTGAGTGAATTGTTTTACCCTAAACAGTTCACACACATTTTGTTTCAGCTCATTAATTTGCACTCCTCTCGATGTGCCATCACTTATCTTACTTCCTCTGTGTGTTTCCTGCTTCCATTGCTCTTTCTTTTCTGTCCTCTGAATTTAGTTCTTGGCTAAATGCTGTCCCTTTGATCTGAAATGGCTGATTAATCTAACATGGGCGGTGGGGGTGGGGTTCACTTCCAGACCTGAAGGGTGATTAAGGACCATAGTCTTAGGAGGCTCCACTGGCCCCTATCCAACCAATAAGGTTGATCTCCAGGTCATATAATATTTGTCCTCTTGTGATTGACTTATTTCACTCAGCATTATATCTTCAAGCTCCATCCATACTGTAATATGTATCAAGACTTCATTTGCCATACTGGATGAGTAACAGTCTGATGTCTGTATGTACCTTATATGTTTTAATCCATTTATTTGTTATTGGGCATTTATGTAATGACAACCTTATGGCTGTAGTGAATAATGGTGTGATAAACATTGATGCACAAATCTCTGTTTAGTCTCCAGTTTCAAGTCTATTACAAATCAACCTAGGAGTGGAATTGCTGGGTCAAGTAGTAGCTCCATTTTCAGTTTTTTGAGAAATTGCCACATTGTTTTCCACAGTGAATATACCATTTGCATTGGGAAAGGGTATCAATTTCCCTATATCCTCACTAACATTTGTTCTTTTTAACATTTTTTATTTAAGCCATCCTAGTACGAGTATAGTGGTAGCTCATTTTGGTTTTGATTTTCATCTCTGATAGTTAGTGACCCTAAACATTTTAAAAATTGTGTTTAGTGACTCTTTTAGTATCATCTTTGGTCAAATGTCTATTCAAATCCTTTGCCTATTTTATGGTTGGGTTATTTGTATTTTTTGTTAAGTTGTCAAGGTTTTATATATTTTTGGTTGTTTGATTCTTGTCAGATACATGGTTTCCAAAGATATTCTCTACTCAGTAGCTTGTCTTTTCAGGGTTTTGATTTTTTTGTAAAATCTTTTGATAAGCAGAATTAAAAAACATTTTTAGGAGCATAGTTTTACTCTGACACACATGGGGTTTGCATTCAGTCAGAATGGACCCTAACACAATTGGTTTTACGTAAGCAGAAGAAAGGAAAAGCATACTAAGTCAATGCAAGTTCACAGCTAGTTTCTTAGCCCCTCTCCTTCCCAACCTGGTATTAGTGAAAGCTACTGAGCTGCACTGTTCTTTTAGTTTTTTTTTAAAATATTTTTATTGGGGGCTTGTTCTTCTTTACCTTGTCTTTTGCTATTTGTCCTTTTATTATTATATTAGATAATCCCTTGTTGAAAGTTAGGTCTGACAGCATTGTCCTTGCTGGCTCTTCTAAGAATGTTATGGTTTTAGTTTGCAAATTTAGGTCGTTAATCCATTTTTAATTTATTTTGAGGTATGGTTTGAGGCAAAGATGCCGTTATAGTTTTTTACATGTGGAAATCCAATTTCTCAGCATTTATTCAAGAATTTCTTCTTTCTCCATCTGATGGACTTAGTACCCTTGTCAAAAATCAATTGACCATATACATGTGGGTTAATTTCTCCACTTTCCATTTATTCCATTTGTCTGTATGTCTATGAGTATTGTTATACCAGTACCAGGTAGTTTTTATTACTGTAACTTTATTGTATGCTTTAAAATCAGGAAGTGTGAGTCCTCCTACTTTGTTCTCTTTCACCTTTGTTTTAGCTATTCAGGGTCTATTGCCTCTCCATATAAAGTTAAGGTACAGACTTCTATTTCTGCAGGGCAGATGGTTAGAATTTGGGGGGGGGGATTATATTGAATCTATAGCTTGCTCTTGGTAGTATTGGCCTTTTAATAAGATTAAATCTTCCAATCCATAAACATACAACATCTTTCCATTTACTTATGTCTTATTTAATATCTTTTATTTGCCTATATGCTTTTGTAGATGGAGCTTTGGTGGCTTAATGGTTATGTGTTGGGTTGTGATCCAGAAGGGCAGCAGTTTGAAACCAGCAACTACTCTGTGGGAGAAAGATGAGCTTTCTACTCCCATAAAGAGTTACCATCTTGGAAACTCACAGGAGCAGTTCTACCCCATCTTATAGGGTTACTATGAGTCAACATTGACTTAATGGCAGTAAGGAAAAGATGCTACTGTAATGGAATTGTTTCCTTTTCAGATTATTCATTTCTGGTGTCTAGAAACCTGCTGATTTTTTCTTCTTTTTGAATTTGTATCCTGCAACTTTGCAGAATCTTTTATTATTTCTAGTTTCCTTGTGAATTCTCCGGGAATTTTTTTTCTGTGTATAGGATCATATCATCCACAAAGAGATAGTTTTAATTCTTCTTTTTCAATCTGGGTACCTTGTATTTATTTTTCTTGTCTTATTACTGTGACTAGGCCTTCTAACACAATATTGTATGGAATTGGTGAGAGTGAGAACCTCTGTCTTATTCCTGGTTTCAAGTGAAAACTCTGTCTTTCCCACCAAGCATAACCCTGGCTGTTCACTTTTCCTATAAGCGCTGAATCATTTTGAGAATTTTCTCTTCTTTTACAATCTCCTTTAGGATTTTAATCAAGAAAGCATGGTGGATCTTAACCAATGCTTTTCTGCATCCATACAGATGATCGTGTAGTTTTTTTTCCCTTTATTCTATTGATGTGGTATATTATGTTGATTGCTTTTCCAATGTTTCTAATTTTCTAATGATCCTGGAATAAATTCCACTTGATCATGGTGTATGCCACTTAATGTACTGTTATGTTTTGTTAGCTACTACTCTGTGGAGGATTTTTACATCTATAATCGTAAGAGATATTGACCTGTAGTTTTCTTGTTTGTGGTGTCTTTGTCTGCTTTGTGTATCCAGTTTACAGTTGCTTCAAATAACAAGTTAGGAAGTATTCCTGCTTTCTCTATCCTTTGGAAGATTTTAAACAGTCCTGACGTCGATGTTCTCTAAATGTTTAGTAGCCTTTCCCAGTGAAGTTATCTTTTCATTAAAAAAAAAAAGTCTTATTCAAGACTTTTTATTTTTGAAGGAAGGGTTTTAATTACCTATTTAATCCTTTCATTTGTTACGGTTCTCATAGTAACCCTTTAAGATGGGGTAGAACTGCTCCTGTGAGTTTCCAAGATGGTGTGCTTCTCAGAATTCTTTTTTCAGCTGGTGGGTTATCAACTTGGTTGCTATACAATTTCTCATAGTATTTTCTCATGGTTCTGTTTGCTTCTATTGGGCCAATTTTAACATGTCCTCTTTCATTTTTTAAAATCTGGCTATTTGCCTCTTTTCTCCCATTTGCTTGCTTTGAAGAAAGAAGAGTACACGATAAAGTACAATAAATCATGTCGGAGTTACTCGACCTGTCTTTTCTCTCTGACATGGAAAGAGATGTGATCCTTGATGTTCTACAGCGAGATGAGGAGCTCCGGAAAGCTGATGAGAAAAGGATTAGGTAAGAAGCATCCCAGGAAAAAAGTGTGCATTTCCAGCTTTCGACCAATAATATCTAAGGTTTTCCTTCTACCTATCATCTGGATTTTAGAAGAATTTATGTAGATGAGGTTCACCTCTCCACGCTGGTTCCTGTTGGGCCCTGGGTTTATTGTCTTCATCAGGCCAATTAGTTTTACTGTGTGTTTCTTACCAACCCTGATCTTCTAACCTGAGTAGATTTTGAATCCAGTTGTGCTTCTCTCTTGGGTCATGGCAGGAAACTGAAGAATGAGTTACTGGAGATTAAAAGGAAAGGGGCCAAGAGGGGCAGTCAACACTACAGTGACCGTACCTGTGCCCGGTGCCAGGAGAGCCTGGGTCGTTTGACACCAAAGACCAACACTTGTCGGGGTTGTAATCATCTGGTGTGTCGAGACTGTTGTGTCCAGGAAAGCAATGGTACCTGGAGGTGCAAAGTGTGTGCCAAGGAAATGTGAGTGTCACCTATGGGTTTGCAAAGAGCAGAAAGAAGGCCCTGATTGTGGTGAGAATTTCCTCCTTTGGTCAGTGTTGGTTCCGTAGCATGAGCCATTCTATTTCTTTCCTTTTCTGTAATTCCTCACAGAGAACTGAAGAAGGCAACTGGAGACTGGTTTTATGACCAGAAAGCGAATCGCCTTGATTACCGCACGGGCAGTGAGCTAATCAGGATGTCCCTGCGCCGCAAACCTGCAGGTATTGGGCGTGTCCAGAGATGGCTCCCTGAGATGTTTATAACTTTGGTGATAGATAGATCCTTTGGTGTGGACTCCCAGTGTGGTTTTGCCTCCAGGATTTTCAGGGGTCGTATAAAAGATTGTTTTACTCTCCATTCTGCATGCATGGTGTACTTCAAGGAAGATGACCGTATCTGGAAGTTCTTTCCCTAGCAACCTCCATCACTACCTGCTGTGTATTTTTTTTGTTTGCTTGTTTTAAAGTGAGTAAAAGAGAGCCCACAGGACAGTCTCAACTTCACCAGGCACAGATTGGCGACATCTGGCCAGGAAGAAGGATCGTTCAGGAGCGACAGAAGGAGTACAGGTGGGAAGCAAGTAATCCTTTAAAGATATGACATATACCTCTTTGATACTTTTTATTTTTACTTTATTCTAATTATAAAACAAGAGATGTTCATTATAGTAAAAATGGGAAAGGACCTAAAACAATAAAGAAGGAGGAAAAAGAAGCACTTTTAATCCTACTGCTCACAGGCAACAGGCAGTTGCTAACATTTTGGCATATTTACTATGTTCTTCATAAGAACAACTTAAAGAAAATTAAAGTAGCACAGACACATTAAGATATAGCCATAACATCATCAGAACAAAAAATCTTACCGTAGTGAATGATG